AAGGAAAAACAACGCGGGAGGAACATAGCTGGTAACAGAGCTTGTTCCGGGACTACACCCGTCAAGACCTGGAGTGGCCGCGCGTCGGAGACCCAAGCGGGCCACACAGGCCCTGCCGCCCGCCCGGCGTTGGCGAAGCACAGACGTCTTGTGAGCAGGTGGTGCTGGGGCAGTTGCACAACCACGGACAAAATAGGAGTCATGACCTTCACCTCCCCACTCGTGCAAAAGATTAAGTCGAGTAGAAGACTGAGCTACATGCAGAATGTGCCATACAGAACTTGGGCAAAACACAGAAAACTTAGGAATCTGGGCCTGGGTAAAGAATTCTTAGGCTTCACATCAAAAGCATGATCCATAAAAGAAAGTTATTAAGTCGAACTTCATCAAAATCAAAAACCTTTGGTCTGTGAAGATAAGGAATGACAAGCTACGGAACGGGAGGAAATATTTGTCAACACACGTCTGACAAAGTCCTGTGAGGAGAAAACACGAGGAGCCTCAAAACTCAGTAGAGAAAACCAAACCGTCTGCTCAGAACGTGGGCAACAGACAGACATTTCACTGGGAAAGGTGTCGGCCTGGAAGCAGGTGGGCAGCCCTGCGGCGTTCACCGGCGCTGCCGCGAGGGGCCAGCGTGCGGGTGTCAGAGCAGCCAGACGGCGCACGGCGTCCTCGCAGCCCGTCTCTTCCGCGAGGGGGACCGCTCCGGGCGGGCGCGCAGGTCTTGAGCGGCTGAGCACGCTTACCCCGTGCCCCGGCACCCCAGCCCCCTCTTGGCGTTTGTCCCACAGAAACGAAGACCTGCTCCCCCCGAACCCGGAGGTGAGCATTCTCAGCAGCTGCACGTGTGACGGCAAGAGCCGGAAACAAGAAAAATGTCCTTAAACAGGCAAACGCTCAAACCAGCTGGCCCATCCACTGCGGGGTGGGGGGGCTTGACACACGCAGCCGCGTGAGCGCACCTCGGGTTGTGCGGAGGGAGGAAGCCACTCCCCGCGGCCTTGCGCTCGCTCGGAATGCCACGGCTGGAGGGTGGGGGCTGGGGCGGGGCAGGTGACTCCAGTCTGCACGAGGGAAGGCTTGGTGGCGGGAGCAGCTCTGTATGGGACGGTGCTGCCCACGACCGTACGTGCCGCAGGCGTCGCGTAGCACACACCCCACACACGTCCGCCCCTGTGGAAGGGCCTGTCGCCCGTCCTGTGCCGTCCTGTGGAAAGGAGGGGGTTAGCACTACGGGGAACGACGCTGCGTCCGTGGGACCTTCCATACCATCTCGGCAGCTTCCTGTGACCTGTCCTCACTGCAAAGCAAAAATCCCAAACCAGCCGTGTAGCACCCAGCAGACAGGCAGCTGAGATGGAGGGACGGACACCCAGACACTGGTAGGTGAGGGCACCGGTGAGCTGTGCTGTCAGCCGGAGAGACTGGTGTGGTGAGCGGGGACTTAGCTGCTCAGTACCAGGAGCGCGTCGTGACTCAGCACGGGCAGCTCCAAAACCACTCGAGACGAAGACTGGTGGGACCACGAAGAGAAACACCTCGGAGGCAGACCCGAAAACAGGGCTCAGCACCCTGGCCCCGTGGGCCAGATCGGCCTGCGGCCAAGAACGGTTCTTACATCTTTAAAGTGTTGTTTCTAACAGAAGAACATTCAACAGAGATAGTACGAGGCCAGCAGAGCCTAGAGTGATCCCGTCTTGGCCCTTTACGGAGACCGTGTTGAGTCCTGCTGCGACCCATCCGGGCGCTGCAGAGCGTGGAGCAAGCGAGGGGCGTCCTAAGGGCCAACGTCTGGGGGCACCGCAAGCGCCCGACCTCGTGGGCAGAGAGCTGCTCCCAGAGTTGCCGGACGGCGTGTGCACGCGGATGGCTGGCCTGCACCCTGCGGTGCTCGTGGTGTCCCAGCCGCACGCCAGGCCGTCCCTCTGCCTTCGGACCACAGTACAAATGAGCTGGAAACCAGCAACAACAAAAACCAACTCTCCCAATTACTTGAAAGTTAAATAGTATGTTTGTGACTCATGGGTGCAAATAGAAAGTCACAGTCGACGTTATGAAACAATTCAAATGACAGTGAAAATAGTAATAGTGAAATTAACAGATGAAGCCAAAGGTCATTCTTAGAAGAAAATTTATAGCATTAAATGAATGTGTTTGAAAAGAAGAGACGTCGAGAGCCTGTGAGCAAGCGATGTCTCTCAACCTGAAACGAGCAATCAGACCCAGAGGGGGTTCGATAATAGACGAGCAAGAATCAATAAAGGGGAGTAGAAAACACAAGTGGCCCCTATGAGGAATGAAAGGGGGCATCCTTTTAGTCACGTGGGCACTAAAGGGGCCGTCAGTGGGGCGCCCGTCAGTGGAGCGGCTACTCTTGGTTTTGGCCCAGGTCCTGATCTCAGGGTGGTGGGATTGAGCCCCACGTCGCGCCCTGCGCTCCGCGTGGAGTCCGCTTGGGATTCTGTGCCCTCCCCACCCCATTCTCTCTCTTGCAAATCCATAAAAATCTTAAAAAAAAAAAAAAAAGAGATATGAGAGGATATTAGGAACACACTATACCAATAAATTTAGGATATTAGGTAAAATATTCCTTGAAAACTATAACATAACATGACTGAACTGAGAGGGTAGAGAATCTAAATGGTTCTGAATCTACTGAAGACGTCGCCTCTGAGGGAAGCCACAGACCCCGATGGCTCCCGGCGAGCACCCCCAACCCTGGGGAAGAGGCAGCGTCAGGGCTGTCGATCCAGCAGAGCCTGGTACCAAAGACTGAGGCCACGTCAAAGTTACAGGCCATCCTGTTGCGTGAGAATAAATTCAGAACTTCCAGACGCAATATTAGCAGATTGAATGTGGCAATACGTAAACCTGGTACAAAGTCGATTTAGCCTCTGAAAACCAGTGTGATTCCCCATAACAATAAGAAAAAGCGTATGTTTTTGTTAATGGATGCAGAAAAAGTACGTGGTTTAATTCACTACCTGCTCATGATGAAAACTCCGTAAACTCAGGCTGGAAGGCGCTTCCTTCCCTCGGAAAGATTAAGATCTCCAGCAGAGAGCGCACGCAATGGCGAGGTCCTGAGAGCTTTGCCTCTAGAGGGAGGGAGTCGGGGTACCTCCGCCCAGCACCCCGGTGAGGCTGGGAGCTCTGGCCAGAAGGGCAGGCCGAGGAAGAAAGTAGAAGGTACAGGGTTGGAAGAAATCAATGAACTTTATCATCGCTGACGGAGGGCGTGACTGGACGGAAGGTCGTATCTACGGAGCAGGCCTTAGCACTGGTGACCAGACTCAGCGGGTGCTACCCACGGTCAGTACGCACAACCCACACGTATTTGCAAGTAAAAGTAACCCCTAATTTTTTGTTTACGCTAACGTCAAAGAAAAAGCATGAAATAGCGAAAAATAAGTCGTACAAAATCTCCATGTTGACAGGCAGAAGATCTCTGAAAGGACCTAACTTGAGCAGACTCCTCGTGTAAAGGTGCCCGGAGTCCCCCAAGCCATGCGCAGGATCCCAGCATTGCCCACGCAGCCCGCACGGCGGCCCCGGGGTCGGGCAGCGCTCGGGGCACAAGCAGCCTCACCCGGGCCGGGCTGTCACCCACAGGAGCCAGAGCCGGCGGCGTCCGGGGGAGCTCCCCGGCCTGGAGAGTGTGGGGGCCTGGGTGGTGCTTGCCTTCCGGGGGAGGCCAGCGGGGGCTGCGGGTTGTACAGTTGGCACGTGGGGCCCTGGCACCTCGTTCATGACTTACTGTAAGGCAGGTCCAGGAGGACGAATGCCGACACGAGCAAGAGCTGACGCCATCGGGGACGATCCGAGCCCTCAGAGACGCCCGGGCGCGGGGAGGAAAGCCGCCCCTTCCGTGTCAGGGCCCCTGTCCCACTGGCTGGTCTGACTGAGCCGTCCCAGGGTCCGGGAGCCAGGGTCAGGGCGCCGGCCCACGGTGGGGCAGGGGAGGGGGCTGCTCGGGGCCAGGGCATCTGACAAACTGAGTGGTTGCGGTTCAGTTAAACTCCGCTGCCACTCACAGCTCCTGGCTCCTGGCGGGGGCAGCGTGGTCCTCGACGGCCCCACGGCGTGTGCCCTGAACGCGGGGCGGCAGCCTGTCCCCCGTCGCTGCCCCTGCTGGAGGCGCCCGCTGAGCACAGGGCCCGGCACGTCCGCCGTGACCAGACCCCTCCGTGCTCGCTCTTTTTAGGACAGTTTAAAAAGTTGTGGTTTTACTCTTTGGTTAAACCTTAGGTTAACTCTGGGGTAATCGCAGTTCATGGAAACTTTCTTCAGACGATGATCAGTTTCCCTTCAGTGACCTGTGAGGGGGTAGGACGTCCGTGACTTTGGTCGCGGTTTAGGTCGGCTGTGACCTGTACTGGACGCGCAGTGACGTCCGGGTAGCCACGGCGTATCTGAGCAGCCGGGGCCAGCCAGACGCGGACGCACGGCGGCTGACCTCGTTGACCCAGGCCTGTGGCCACTTGCTGGGTACGAGTCCGCGTGTGCCGTCGGCGGCGAGGACCCCGGAGCGCGAGCGGCCGCCGGCACTCACCACGGCACCGCGAGAGTGTGCGTTTGACAACAAGAAATATTCTACATCCGTACGACCTCAATTCATAGAAAGTCATCCGCTCAGCAACCCTCCGAGGGATTAGAGCTTGTAATTGAACGGCTGAGCGTGGTTTTGTAGAACGCAGCGTGACCCACCAGCGTCCCCGATGGCACCCTGGATCCTCTTCCTCTGCTGCGCTGTTAGGTTTTCAGAGGTGCGCACACCCGCAGCACGCGCCCTTGCGGCTTGCCCTGGCCGTGCTGCGCTGACCTGCTGAGACTGTGGCTCGGGGGCCGTGTGTGTCCACACGCCTGGCGGGTGTCCGGGTGTGCACGTGCTGCTCCCATGACCCGCGGGGCTCCCAGGGGCTGCTGGGCACAGCGCCGAGGCGCAGGGTGCGCATCCCCACGTGTGTGACTCCCCGTTCTCCGTCTGCGCCCCGCAGCTCGACTACATCGACTCCCGAGCAGTGCAGCTGGGCTCCCTGCTGGTGCGCGGCCTCACCACCCTGGTCCTGGTCAACAGCGCGTGCGGCTTCCCCTGGAGGACGAGTGACTTCATGCCCTGGAACGTATTCGACGGGAAGCTCTTTCATCAGAAGTACCTGCAGTCGGAGAAGGGGTACGCGGCGGAGGCTCTCGTGGAGCACAACGTGAGTGCACAGCGTTTTCCTGCTCGGGAACCAGGGGTTTGAGGTGCCCAGAGCCCGCGGCCACGCGTGGGGCTGGCTGTCGCAGCGCAGGGCGCACGTGTCCCCAGGCTTTGGAATTTAGCACAGTTAACGCTGACGGCTGGCGACGTGGCTGAGGTCACCGCAGTTCCGAGGGAGGGCTGCAGTACCTGCAGGGAGGCAGAGGCACGGACGGGGAGGCCTAGCGTATCTCCTAGCGTCCCCCAAGTCCTGCCACCCGGCTCGAGTGCCCAGCTGCTGAGCGATGGCGAGCGCCATCCGGTCCCCTCGGCCCTCTCCACCCTTCTCGAGTTGAGGGGACTGCGGCCCCAGAGCTGCCTTGGCAGACGTCAGACCAACTCAGTAGGAGTCACAGCCGGTTTTACTTGACAATACTCCCTGCAGGCTCCGGTCTGCAGGGGCCGTGGCTGCCGTCGTGACCCTGGGAGGTCTCCGGGGGCTTGCGTCCGGCTCTGGGAGCGTGTGGGGCCAGCTGAAGGTGTGCGAGAGACCCTGCGGCCCGAGGGCACCCACCAGGTGGGGGCAGAGCACAGGAGCGTCACGTCGGATGCAAACCTTGGGAGGCGTGCCGCGATCCCTGCTCCTCGGCCCAGCACATCCCGGGGTGTCCCGGGGGTTCAGGAGCAGCTGGCGCCGTGTGCAGGTGGCCGCAGGGTCACAAGGGAGGGTGGTGCTCACGTGGCGCTCGTGCCCGGGCATGGAATGGTAAAGGGTCAGCGGTGCACTCCCCACGCGGTGGTCCCATGTCTCAGTCACGGCCACATGCAAGGTGACCGCGGGCTCGCAGGTGCGGCTTGAAAGGGGTGAGGCCGATGGGGCCACGTGTCAGCCGTGAGCTCGCACCGAGGCAGGCCGTCCCTCGCCCGCCGCTGCTTCTCCCGAGGGGTCACGCCCAGGAAGGGCTGTGGTGGCCCGAGCGTCGCCAGGGAACCGCGCCCTTTTGGGGCGAGCGCTGAACCCAGGGAAGGGCCGGGGCGGGGTACGGAGGCCGTGCGCGGCCGGGACTCCGTGGTCCCCATGGCCTGCGCTGCTCACGCGTCCGTTCTGCTTGCAGAGGTCCCGGCTCACCAGGTTCCACGCGCTCAAGTCGGTCGTGTGCAAGGCGTGCGCGAAGGAGAACAGGCGCATCGTGAGCCGGCAGCACTGGCGCTCGCACCAGCCAGGTGGGCACCGCAGGGCGCAGGCGCGGGGGCGGGAGGCACTTGGCCCGCAGGTGGGTGGCAGGTGGAGGCGCGGTCCCCGTCCCTGTCCCCGACCCCGACCCCAGGAGAGGCCACGGAGGGCCGAGCGGGCTGGGCCCTGCACCATGAACCACCGCGGCCGCGGGGAGCTGCCCTGTCCCGGATGCACGCAACCCCATGGAAGCCGGCGGAGGCCACGGGGACTGGCCTCGGGCCACAGACACCGCAGGCGCGGGCAGGAGGGGCACTCCCAGTGTTTCCGGGCTTTCATCCTCGGCAAGGGGCCGCCATGGGCCGGGGCCGCTGTGGGCCGGGGCCGCCGTGGGCCAGGGCTCCCAGGTGACCGTCTCCCTTGGGCGGGGCTCCCGTGGGCCGTGTACCCTGGTGGCCCAGGCCTGCCCCACCGCCATGTGCGGGAGCCTGGTAGTTGAGCTTGGAAGTGCTTCTGTTCTCATTTCACGCACGTTGCTCCTTAAGGTAGAGCAGCCAGCGTGGGCGCTGCAGGCGGCTGCGGTCACCTCCAGGGAAGTGTCCCCGACGGGTCACCTGAGCCCCCACAGCAGGGACGGGGAGCTGTGCTGCCGGCTCCCTTGGCTGCGCCGCCGGCCTGTGTGGGCAGCAGCGTGTCTCACCCACCGGCGGCAGAGAAGCTGGCTGGGTCCGTCCGCATGCTGAGGAGCCCAGTTCTTTCACGTCCCCCTCCCTTAGGGCCTGTGCCCGTCACCCGCAGCCCCTCCTCCCTGGGAGAGAGAGAGCCCTCCTGGTTCCTGCCCCGGGCCACCCACGGGGGCTCCTCCTGAGGGCTGCCGGGTCGCGAGGTCACCACCAGGTGCTGGAAGGAGAGTGTGGGGTCAGAGAGGGGCTTCCTTCCGTTTCCCGGGAGTCACAGACCCCCCTTGTCCTGCCCACTTGTCAGCCCGTTCCCTTTGTCCTGCCAGCTGTGCAGGGTCAGGACTGGGGACCTTGCAGCTCAGATGTGCAGCGTTCTGCTCGCGGCCTGTGGTAGGAGGTGTCGGAGCTCGGGAACGCTGGGTGGTCGGGTGTGTGGACAGTGCGGGGAGGCCGAGCCCCGGGGCCCACCACCTGCCCGGAGCCCCTGGGACCCCCTGCCCCCCTGAGCCCCTGGGACCCCCTGCCTGCCCAGAGCCCTCTGCACCCCCTGCCCCCCCCGAGCCCCTGGGACCCCCTGCCCCCCTGAGCCCCTGGGACGCCCTGCCTGCCCCAAGCCCTCTGCACCCCCTGCCCCCCCGAGCCCCTGGGACCCCCTGCCCCCCTGAGCCCCTGGGACCCCCTGCCTGCCCAGAGCCCTCTGCACCCCCTGCCCCCCCGAGCCCCTGGGACCCCCCTGCCCCCCTGAGCCCCTGGGACACCCTGCCTGCCCCAAGCCCTCTGCACCCCCTGCCCCCCCGAGCCCCTGGGACCCCCCTGCCCCCCTGAGCCCCTGGGACGCCCTGCCTGCCCAGAGCCCTCTGCACCCCCTGCCCCCCCGAGCCCCTGGGACCCCCTGCCCCCCTGAGCCCCTGGGACGCCCTGCCTGCCCCGAGCCCTCTGCACCCCCTGCCCCCCTGAGCCCCTGGGACGCCCTGCCTGCCCAGAGCCCTCTGCACCCCCTGCCCCCCCAAGCCCCTGGGACCCCTACCTGACCCCCTGAGCCCCCTTGCACCCCCTGAGACCCTCCTATGCACCCGGAGCCCCCGGCACCCCCCTGAGCCCCTGGAACCCCCCCACCTGCCCAGAGCCCCTGGGACCCCCTGCCCCCCTGAGCCCCTGGGATGCCCTGCCTGCCCAGAGCCCCCTGCACCCCCTGCCCCCCTAAGCCACTGGGACCCCCACCTGCCCCCCTGAGCCCCCTACACCCCCTGAGCCCCTGGGACCCCCCCACCCACTGGAGCCCCTGGCACCCCCCCTGAGCCCCTGGGACCCCCTGCCCACCCGGAGCCTGCGCACTGCTGGTGATGAACCGACGACCGACCAAGGGCCCTGCTTTGGGGTGACCTCCTAAAGCGCCTTAGCTCTGGCCTAGCGTCAGCCACTTTGCTGTCTGTCGCCTACACGGGGTCTCCTGGGGGACGGGGTCTCCTGGAGGACATGCTCAAATGCACACGGCCATTGCCTCCATCCCAACTGGGGCCCCTCAGTCCACATTTTTCAAGGGTTTCCCCTGTGCTTTAAGGACCAGAGTTTTGAGAAGCGCGGACCTGGTGCCGCCTCGCTGCTCTGAGAGATCACGTGTCATCTGGGTCGAGGCCTGTGGCCACCTCCTAACGTGCCGACATGTCCCCACAGGCCGCTGGGGGAGGCAGGGATCTGGCTCCCACAGGACGAGCTCTGGCTGCAGCCGGGCAGACCCAGGACAGCACTGGAGGGACTCGGGACCAGGTAAGAGGCCGCGGGGTGCTCCTGGGGGGCTGGCGGCGGGCTGCTGCTGGGGCGGCGGGTCACCTTGACACGTAAACAAAACTGAACTTCCTGATACTCCCACGTGGTTGCTTCGTGAAGGAGACCAGCGATCTCCAAGCCCGGTGCTGGTGTCCCTCTGCTCCTGCCACCTGGTTTATGCGTCAGGACTCTGTTCTTTATCATCTCAGAGCAGGGCTCTTGTGACCGTTTCGGGCACACGCATCTTTCCAGCGAAGACAGAGCATTGTGACGTCTTCTACGTTCTGGTTTATAAACGAGACCCTCCTGGGTGATCGAGGAAGTAAAACGCGTCCTTGGCTTGTTGCCTGGGTAGCACAGGTGTCTGGTTTCCGTGTGTGAAGTGGAGTTTCATACGCAGCGATTTACATTTTAAATACACAGGAGCACCTCCCTGGTATTTAGGTTCAGAGTTCCTTAGGGTGTTCAGAGCGTAGCTGTGGGTGCTTCTGTATTACCTGAGGCGTACGGTTTTATCCTTGCAACAGACTTCACTGAAGGTGGCTTCTCGCGAGCTCCAAAGTGGACCCTCCCGTCCTAGTCTGCGTTGTCTCCCGCCTGCTGCGCCGTGGGCCCTGCGCCTCTGCCCTCGCGAGTCCGCTCAGGGGAATCGGAGACTGTCTCCGGGGGTTGCCTCTTCTTCTGGCAGAATTCGGGGTCCGCCGTTAGCTCAGGGTAGACCAAAGCTCATGCTGAGCACCCCTGAAACGCTCATGCCTGGGGACAGAGAAGTCGAGTAAGGGTCACAGCTGCTGTGCTTTGCCCTGGTGTGACGTGCAGAGCCCACCTCGCCTGTCCTGCTGCCCGCTGACACCTGGGGCTCTGAGATAGTCGGCCCAGTGAGGGCGGCAGCGCCCCACGCTCCCCCATCTCCTCCGGGACAGCCGTGCGGGACCCCACCCAGACCACCGGGTGTGGCTGCCAGCGCAGCCCGAGTGCCCTCGGGGATGCTGTCTCTGTGCCAGGCGTGTCTGAGGTTGCTTTTAATTTAGAAGGTACTGCAGTCGATTGAGCTGACCTGCAGACAGGGCCCCCAGGAACACGAGGGCTCGTCAGGTTGCCTAGACTCCGACCGTGACGCCCCTGCCGTGGGCTCGTGTCCACAGCGGGGGCATTCAGCCTGCTTGGTGCTGACCCTCGTGGACAGCAGCCCGCTGAGCCCTGGGGTCCGTCCGTGCAGCAGGTACAGCCCTGGCCTGGGGGCTCCGTGCCGTGGGGTCCTGCCTGTGGGGACTGTGCATCTCTGCATAGAGCTGTGTGAGGAGGAGCAGGAGCCTTCCTCCCGCACGGAGCCTGAGCATCCCCCCACCCCCACCCCGCTCCCACACACCCTGCAGTCTTCACAGAGGGATCCAGAGGGTCCTCCTGAAACGGGGTGTGTAGGCCGAGGCCTGAGGAGGGAGGCTCCCAGGAAGGGAGTTGGGCAGGCGGCGGAGGGCAGGCGCTCCAGGGCCGCGCAGCACTGCTCAGAGCCCTGGGGTTGGCTCCAGGTCCTTCCTGGACAGACGTCCCTTGGTCACCAGACTGCCCACCGGGGCCCGAGCCTGCCCGCCTTAGCGCTAGGCTCCTCTCTGCAATAGTGACAGGGTTTGAATTCAGGCACAAGACTGCGTGGAGCGTAAGTGCCTGGTGGGTTTGGAGCAGACTGGGGGCGCGGCCCTGTCAGTCCGTCCTGTCCCAGGCAGGCTCACGGAGTTGGCCCGGCCCCTCCTAGGGTGGGAGAGCGGGGCGAGCGGAGGTGTGCTGGGCATGTTTGGGCGGCTTGGGCTGCCGGGCATCCCCAGAGCCACCTGTCCCTGCTCCATGTCCCCCCCACGTGGCCTCTGTCCTGGCTTGTCTCCAGGAAGTCAGGGAAGATGCGACAGCACCAAGTCAGGGCGACGGGGCTGCAGGCGAAGGCTGGGCACAGGTGCAGAGCAACCGTGTGTCTGCGGCGACGTGAGCACGCTCACCCCCGGCCCGTGGCAGTGGCGTGTGCCGTACAACACACAGCCCCCATGTGTGCGCGCTTCCAGGCTGCCCTCCGATGAGCGGCGTCCCTGCAGACGCTCCTTGCACAGTGCTCCCCGCCGTGTCCTCAGCATCCAGCCCGGGCAGCAAGGCGTGTGGTTGCAGGAAGCCGGGTGAGTGCCCCTCCTGGGCCCCTGAAGTCGAGCCGCTCAGAGCAGTAGTTGTTGGAGGGTGTCTTCACGATTGTCCTCTTCCCTGGACAGAGGGAGGGAGGGAGGGAGCCTGCTGCCCCGGGTTCCCCCCTTAGGGCCCGAGCGGATCCCACGGCCTCCCGGGGTGCCATCATGAACACCACGCAGATGGGGCTCCCCCCTCCCGGCATCCCCCACGCACGCGACCATCCTGAACTTCAGGGAACGTTTGGAAGGCTCAGGGATGTTTGTCCGACCGGGTGCTAGGCCCAGGCGAGCACGTTGTACCGCTTCTGTTCTGGTTCTGTAGAAACCAGGGAATGAGGCTGCTTCGCGGGGGCCGGGGTTTGCAGGGAATCCCTGCTCAGGGCTGGGACCACGGTGGTCACACGGAAGCCAGGGGATGGTGGTGCCGGGGGTGGGCTGGGGCTGAAACCATGCCCTGGGAGGCCTCAGGTCGAAGGTGAGATGGTCGAGTGAGGGCTGAGCCAGTAGCAGACTGGAGAGCCTGGGGACGAGGATGCTTCAGGAGCAGTCTCTGGGGCCCCGGGGCGCCGCGGCGGGCACAGCGGAACACGCCGGCCTGCTGAGCCACTGTGTCGCCCACCTGAGCTGACGTAACGTCCCCTCCTGTGCTCAGAAAACTAAAAAAAGAAGAGTCCGGGCATGAGGAGTGAGAGATTGGGTCTCTGGCAGGACGGTAGTTGAGCGAGGACAGCGTGTCTTAGCTCACGTGGAGAAACATCCACAGGAATTGCACTGCTGGTACCAGGGTGTTTGCGATTCCAGATGGTTCTGGGTAGATGCGTGTTCACACACATATAACGTCCTTTATTGGACGGAGCACTGGTTAGGTCAGGTGGTCACTTCCTCGGTTTCACCACTGAGAGAATGACGGCGTCTCCCCTCGGCCACAGACTGTTTGCTGGGGGGTGTCTGCCTTTGACCTGCCCTTTGGTACATTTTAGAGACACGTAAGTCGTCTCGAGAGAACGTTGTCAGGACTTCCTGGGCGCAGTTGACAGACAAGACTCTCTTTTTCTTTTTTTTTTTTTTTACCTTAACTGTAATATTTTTATTGCCTAAAAAAGGGCTAAGCAGCATATGAGCTTTCAGCGAGTTGTAACTGTCTTGCTGGTGGAGGGTCTTGCCTCGACGCTGAAGGCTGTGATGACTGTGACAATTTCTTAAAATAAGGCAACAATGACTTTGCCGCATCCATTGACTCCTCTTTCAGGGCGATTTCCCTGCAGCATGTGATGCTATTTGGTAGCATTTTACCCACTTCTTTTAAACTTCTTTTAAAACGAAGCCCACCCTCTCGCACCCTGCTGCTTCTGCTGCTTTATCAGCTGAGTTCGTGTGATATTCTGGATCCTGTTGTGCAGACAAGACTCTTAAGTAAAACTACAACTGCCTCAGAATGGAGTTTTCTGAACCCCTGTGAGGGGAGGAGGGGCGGGGAGCAGGGGCCCGGCTGGCTGGGAGAGCCCGAGGCCCCCACTCTGTGAAGCATTTGCTTCCTGGCCTGGGAGTTGGGAGGGGACCCCTGGAGCAGAGGTGAGACCTCCTGGCCTCCCGGAGGGGGAGGAGCGGGGGAGAGCGGGGACTTCAAAGCAGCTGAAGTGAGAGCACTTTAACCTCTTCCTTGCTGTTGGTGAGAAGTGATGTGTTAAATTCCACAGGCAGTAGCAAATCGCATTTGCTTGTGATTTCTTCAGATTTCCACTGTTGGTGTAACCCTGATGAGGCCGGGCTGTTGTAAAAGTGTCTCTGATCATCTGTGATAACACGGTGGGGCTGCAAACCCCATGGTGGCCTTGCTGTGACTGGCTCCTCCTCCCAGCGCTGGCCAGAGCCCCTGCCCTCCTCCTGCCTCCCACCTCCCGCCTCCCGCAGGGCATGGGAAGCTTGTAGGAAAAGTGTTACCCTGGGAATGTGAAGCCACCACCGCCTTGTTTCCTGGCAGGCTGGCTCCCTTCTGGCTCTTCCCGACACTCCTGGTGGCGGAAGGTGACGTGTGGCCAGCGCCCCGGGACGGGTGCTCTGCCCTGAGCTGTGGAAGAGCCACACGGGGTGGGGTGGGGGGCGCCCTCGGGAGCCGTCTGCACTGGCAGCAGACACTGGGCACCCGGCGGGGCTGCACTGGCGTCGGAGCAGCAGTTTGGACGCTGCTTCCTCGTATCGGAAGAGCCACCTCGTAATTAATTGCTTCCTACTCTAATGGAAATAATTGTGCAACAGACTTCTGTGACAGTGGCCACAGCGGAAAAGAAAATACAGTGCTGCCCCCAAATACAACTCAGCGTGTCATTTTACACGGCTGAGAAAGTGCGGTGTTTTCTGTTCGACTGTTACAGAAACGTGATTAACTTAGTTTTGGTTTTCATATGTGTTTGGTGCAGGAAGTAGACAGTATGAGCCTGACCCCTGGAGAAGATACTCCTCCTCCTCTGGGTAAGTGCACACCTCTGTCCTCAGAATAAATCGGCTTTATCGAAGATGGAAGTAGAGCATCTGTCTTTATAGCATAAATCTTTCATATCAGTTGCTAGACTTTAAAAGAATTCAGATGTTGACTCCTGGCATGGGGCCCGGCTCACTTGGTGTGCAGGCGAGTTTGCCTCCTTCAGAGCAAGCGTGGAGAGCAGGAGGTGCACAGTCCAGCCTGACCGCCCCGTACGCCCCTTAGGAGCGAGGCACCCAGAGCAGCATTGCAGCCTCGTCCCTGTGAGGTCCAGACCTCGCCTCTCGTGAAAAAGAAGAACATCCTTTCTGGTGACTTCTCCCTCATACCATAGAGAACGCTCTGTTGACCTATTTCCAGAGGTTGTCCTTGATTCTGTGCCCCGAACGCTTGTAAGCATCTTCCCCCTAATCTCTTCATCTGTGTTTATGAGGGACGGTTGATTTTTCTTCAGCGAGTTGGAATCTTACTACATCCTGCTCTTGAAAAAACTTAACACTGGATTGCAAAGATTGTAAGGATTGCAGACGTGGTGCCCCGTGGCTGTATGATAGTCCAAGAATTGTTTCTAGTTACAAACACAGAAAAAGAGGTAACAGCCTTCTTGTGGCCTTCCTGGCGGGAGAGCCAGCTCTGCGTGGGGGGCCTGGCCCTGCCTGGGAGTCCTCGAGGCGTGTGGCCCACGGGCTGCTCCTGCCCGACCTTCCTTTCCGTTTTACTTTTGCCGAGCTCCCGCTCCGAGCTCCTGACAGCAGAGCGTGAGAGGCAGGCCTGGGTCCCAGCCCCCAGACAGCCTCAGGCCGGCCTGCAGGGGCGTGCAGGGCAGAGGCCGTAGCTCAGTGGCAGGAAGCTCAGTTTATGATGCCACTAACGGGCGGTTCCTTTGTTGCTCTGAGCACTGAACGGCTCTTGTCTTTAAAAAATGTTCCGGAGGGATCCCTGGGTGGCGCAGCGGTTTGGCGCCTGCCTTTGGCCCAGGGCGCGATCCTGGAGACCCAGGATCGAATCCCACGTCGGGCTCCCGGTGCATGGAGCCTGCTTCTCCCTCCGCCTGTGTCTCTGCCTCTCTCTCTCTCTCTCTCTCTGTGTGTGACTATCATAAATAAATAAAAATTAAAAAAAAAAATGTTCCGGATACATCCAAGCTCTTGGAAGAATTCTTAGACAATTGAAATTTCAAGAATTGTGATTGTACTGAGCTCAACTTCTGGGGTATTGACCGTGGAAAGAAATCTATATTTAGAGGGTAGAAGGCAGACCCTGTGTTAGCGGCCTGTTCGCACCACACGCCCTGGCTCTGGAGGCTCCGCACAGGCTCAGAGAGGGCTCGCACGTGTGCCCGGAAGACACGCCCGTTGTTGCTGTCTGTAAAAACCAAACGAGCCCTGAGCGTATTCGCAGTCCAGTCCGTATACTGCGTTTGATGAATTACCCTGACAGCTCGAGTGTGCGGAGCTCCTGGCTTTGTCTGACCTTAGAATCCCATCTAGTATTTGCCAAAACGGATACGGTCTCCAGCTGCTCTGCTTGCAGGTCTTATGTTTGAAACATCCTCACCACTTCCTACAAGTCCTTCTGAAGGACATTTGCGTATCTCGTTCCTTCCCCCTGTGAGTCTTGTAGGACCTCAACCTGATTTCCCATCGTTAGAAATAGATTTGTCTCATTCCACTTACGGAGTTTCCTGTCTGAATATCAACATTCTCTTCCTTTCGTTTCTGGTCATTTGAGACCACGGTTGCTTCTAGAAATTTCATTTCTTTACTGCTTATTTTTTATAACTTTGAAATAAATTTCTCATCCCTTAGACTAAAAGAGTAGACCCCCGTGAAAATTGTTTTCCCCCTTTATAATATCTGAACTCTGACTTGTCAGTAAAGTGTTTGTGGTCATTAGCAAGCTTCAGCACGTCATTGGGTTTGTACGGTCTCTCTCATGTTTGGAAAGCCAGTGCAGGAAGTTCCTGTGATCTTGTGGTCATGTAAGTTAGTTACCCTGCAGCCTAGTCTTCTGATAAAATGTCCATGAATTAATTTAAAAATGAAAATAAAACTATATTTATCACTCATAATTAAATATAATTTCACATTTCTTTATTTGGAGGACACTTCACGATCTAATATAGTGGGATCTTTGGGGAGAAAAAGGATGTTGAATTTTGTTAAATGCCATTTCTGCATCGATTGATATGGTCGTGTGATTTTTTTTTTATCCTTCATTCTGTTAACATGTGTATCATGTTGATTGACTTGCATACGCTGAACCATCCTTGCTTCCGAGGGATAATACCACTGATTGTGCTGTATGACCCTTGTAATGTTCTGTTGAATTTGGTTTGGTAGTATTTTGTCGTTTTTGCATCATTGTTCACCAGGGTGTCTGGCCTGTAGTTTTCTTAGAGTGTCCTTGACTGGTTTTGATGTCAGCGTATGCTGGCCTCATAAAATGAGTTTGGAAGTGTTCCTTCTAGTTCGGTTTTTTTGGAAGAGTTTGAGGATTGGCATTAATTCTTTTTTAAATGTTTGGTAGAATTCTCTAGTGAAACCATCTGGTCCTGGATTTTCATTTGTTGGAAGGTTTTCCATTACTGATTCAATCTCCTTTCTCATTGATTGATCTGTTCAGATTATCTGTCTCATATTTATTCAGTCTTGGTAGGTTGTACTTCTCTGGGAATCCGTCCATTTCTCTTAGGTTGTCCAGTTGTTGGCATGTAAGTGTCTATAGTAGTCGCTTCTATAGTATCCGTTTTAATTTCTTCTGCTTTGTTTGATTTGAGCCATCTGTCTTTTTCTCTTGGGCAGTCTCTAAAGGTTTGTCAATTTTGTATATCTTTTCAAAAACCAGTTTAGTTTCATTTATCTTTTTTATTGTCATTCTTGTCTCATTTTTTATTTTTCTTTTAAGCTTTGTTATTTCCTTCTTTCTGCTATCTTTGGGCTTAGTATGTTCTTTTTCTAGTTCTTTGAGGTGTAAAGTTAGGTTGTTTATTTGAGATGTTTCTTTTTTCTAACATAGGCATTTACTGTTACAAACATCTCTCTTAGAACTGCTTTGGTTGCAACATATTATTTTTGCATCCCATTAGTTTTTGTAGGTTGTATTCTGTTTTTGTCTGTATCAAGGTATCTTTTGATTTCTTCCTTGACCTCTTGGTTGTTCACAAATGTGTTGTTCGATTTCTATAGATTTATGAATTTTCCACTTGTCTCCCTCTTACTGGTTTCTGGTTTCACACCATTGTGATCAGAAACTATACCTGACATGATTTCAATCTTGTTAAATTGGAGGGGGGAAGGTCAGAGGGAAAGAGAGAGAGTGAATCTTAAGCAGGTTCCACACCCAGTGCAGAGCCCAACGTGGGGCTCCATGTCAACCCTGAGATCATGACCTGGGTCAAAATCAAGAGTTGGACACTTAACCAACTGAGCCACCCAGGGTTCACTCTAACTCTCAATCTTGTTAAATTTTTAAGACTTGTTTTTATAGCCTAATGTATGATCTATCCTGAGGAATATTCTTGTATGCTTGAGAAGAGTGTGTATTTTTCTCTTGTTACAGATGTGTGTCAGGTCCATCTGGTGCAATTCAAGTTCAATCTGTCTTTATTAATTTGCTGTTTGGATGATACACCCATTGTTGAAAGTGGGGTATTAGATTCCTCTGCTATTGTCATACTGCTGTCTACTTCTGCCTTCAGTTGTATTGTTTTCTTTATAGGTTTACAAACTTTTTCATCCTTTCATGTAAAAGCTCAACAAAGTAAGTGTAAAGAGAGTGTATCTCAACAAAGGCTGCATATGACCAACCCATAACTAGCATCGTATACAGTGGTGAAATGTTGAAAGCTCTTTCTCTAGGATCAGGGACAAGAGCAAGATGTCCATTCTCAGGACGCCTGGATGGGTCAGTGGTTGAGTGTCTGCCTTTGGCCCAGGGCGTGACCCCGGGGTCCTGGGATCGAGCCCCACATCGGGCTCCCTGCATGGAGCCTGCTTCTCCCTCTGCCTGTGTCTCTGCACCTCTCTCTGTGTCTCTCGTGAATAAATAAACAAATCTTAAAAACAACGCCAAAATAAAAAGATGTCCACTCTCACTGCTTCTGTGCAGCTAAGTACTGGAAATTCTATCCAGAACAATTAGGCAAGAAAAAGAAATAAAAGGCATCCAAATTGAAAAGGAGGCAGTTAGATCTGTTTGATGATGTCATCTATATAGAAAATCCTAGACTCCATCAAAAAATTGTTGAGACTATTAAATTAATTCAGTAAAGTTGTAAGATACAAGATTGATATAAAAAAAATCTGTTGCATTTCTATACACTAACAACAGACTATCCAAAAGAGAAATTAAGAATTATAGTAGCCTTAAAACAAAATTTTTAGAAGTAAATTTAACCAAAGAGGTGAAAAAGCCATCTAATGAAAACTACTAAACTGATGAAAGAAACTGAAGATACAAATGAATGGAAAGATATTTTGTGTTCATAGATTGGAAGAATTAATATTGTTAAAATGTCCATATTACCCAAAGGAGTCCACAGACTCAGTACGATCCCTATTAAAATTTTGATGGCATTTTTCACAGAAATGAAACAAACAATCCTAAAATTTATATAGAACCACAGAATATCCCACCAAAAAGCCAAAACAATCTTGAGAAAGAACAACAAAGCTAAAGGCGTCACATTTCTTGATTTCAAACTGTATTATAAAGCTCAAGTAATCAAAATAATGTGACATTTGCCTCAAAATAGACTCATAGATCAATGGAACATAATAGAGAGCCCAGAAATAAAATCTCATATGTATGGTCAACTAATCTTCGACAGGAATTCCAAGAATACACAATGGAGAAAGGAACAGTCTCTTCAGTAAATGATGTTGGGAAATTGAACATCCATATGCATAAGAATTGGACCCTTACCTTACACAAAAATGGATTAAAGATATAAACATAATACCTAAGATCGTAAAACTCCTGGAAGAAA